TTTCCCTGCCCCGCGCCCCCCCCCCTTCCCCTGTCCTGGCCACAGCATCTCTATTTAGGGCTGCAAGATTGAGAACCGAAGGGGCCTGGTTTGCTTGTTTTACTCTAAACATATCACTGAGGAAACACCTCCCATCCCATCTCACTGCCTGGGGACTGAGACAGCCCCCTGGCTAAAGGCACAGCTGGGCCAGGGTGAAAGGTCACTGGGTGACTGGGGGGCCTGGGATGTTGGATGAGCCTGAACCTTTTGCTTCCACCCTGGTCTCCAGTCCCTGGTGAGAAGGACCCAGCTCCCCCAGGGGAAAATTCATGCTCTGGGCTTAAGGGGACATAAATGGGACCTGGGTCTAGTCCTGCTGCACAGGGGTGATTTCCCCCCCAGAGAATACCTACCAATGGACTGCACTGGCTTCCCCACCTTCTTAGTCTCCACTTGCCCCGTCCTCCACACCCAGCTCCAGCCACTTCTTCTTGTCCTGCCCTGACTTCCTCTGCTCCCCATTCCGGGTTCCTGAGGTGTCTGCTGTCCCTGCTGAGAGACGGGTACCGGGACACTGCTGGATGGGGAAGAACACAAGGCAGTTGAGAAAGAGCATCCAGAAGTGACCTCTGAGCAAGAAGGGAATCCGAATCAGTGTGACTAAGGAAGTGGAGGAACCCAGGCAAAAGGTCAAAGAAACATGTGGGAAAGAAAGTCTTGTGAATAGACATTAACACCTGTGCGGGAAGACAAACAATGGAGGGCCTCAAGGGAAATCTGTCAGGAGTGCAAGGCAGAGCAGTTTTACAGAGCAACTTTGCAGTAATTGATGCTCAAGTGGATTGTCCTGGGATGGTGGCTGGGCACATTTCACCACTGGGATAGAGTCAGCTCTGCAGAGCAGTTGGACAGGGGATATTTGGGGAGCTCAGATGCTCAGGTGAGGGTCATTGGAGCACAGTTTAAGACTCCCTGTTATAAGCAGTGCCCAGAAGACGACAGAGTGAAAAAGGGTAAATATTTGTTGCAATTTATAAAAAAAAATTGTTAAAAAAACGTATGTGAAAAATATTGTTTCCCCATTTTTCCCCTCTTGTGGTGGCAAAATGGTAAAAAGGGAGGGAAGGGAAACCAAAACCTGAAAACTTTTTAAAAATTGTCTGAAAAAGTGGCTTTTTAAATGTATGTTTTCATTTTTTCTTTTAATTTTCCAATTTTGTTTTTACAAAACCCCCAAAACAGTTTTAATTTTTTTCTTTGTAAAAATGGAAACTTCGGAAAAAATGAAAATGTTTGACAAAAACTTTCACTTTGAAAAATCTGTCATTTTTAGATCATAACATTGTGGTGGCTCTGCCCAGAGTGATCCCCGGGGCTGTGGGTCAGGCTGAGCTGCTGGCACCCTTGGATGGCAGCCGAGCCCTGCTTGTAGCTCAGACAATGCTGCCCAGAAAGAGGCTGATCCAAAGCCTCTTGGTGTCAATGGAAACCCTCCACTGACTCCACTGGCCTTGGTCAATCAGGAATTATTTGGGGGCAATTTTCTGGCTTGTGTTATACAGGAGGTCAGACTAGATGGTCACAGTGGTCCCTTCTGGCTTTAAAATCTATGAATAAACCTAACAAAGACTCTGATTCCACAATAAGAGTGTCCCCATGGGAGTTACACCAGCAAAGCTAGAGCAGTTTAATTACACTGGTAAATTTCTTGTTTATAGAGAAGCCCTGAGATAAACAGCTCTTCCCATCAATGCTCTGCCTGTCCTACATGCCCTGTCACTGGAGTATCTGAGCCCCTCACAATCATTAATGGGTTTATCCTCAGACACCTCTGAAGTTCATCCTCCGTTCACAGGTGGGGTAACTGATGCACAGCAAGAGACTAAGTTACTGAGTGTAGGGCACACAGGAGTCTTTAGCTGGTCCTCAAGGAATCAATTATGAAACATTTAGAGGAGAGGAAAGTGATCAG